TTACTGATTACTCTTTTCAAGTAACTTGACCAACACTGCTCAAGACCACATTAAGAGGTTACAAGAAAGTCAAGAAATCACGAGTGACTAAAGACCTCTGCACAGCATTTTTTTTTCAAAGAAGGCCTCGCATATTTCATCAAGCCGATACTGAACACAACACAAGGCAACTCAATTACAACATATGGCTACATATGGTAGAGGAGTCCGGGTGCAGAACTGGCCAGTACAGACGTTTCTCCATATAAAAACATCTGGCATCTAATGAAATGGAAAATACTACAAATCAAACCCAGGAATGTTGAGCAACTACAATCCTATATCATTCATTTTTTGTGATTTCTTTACTTAAAATGAGCAATTTTCTCAAATTAAGCATGTCATACGTTTTCTATGTTGTTGTGTGAATAAAAAATAGGTTTATAAGATCTGCAAGTGAAAATGGGATTTCTGTCTCTAAACAGTTCACACAACATCCCAAGTTTTCTGGAATCAAGGTTATAGCATGTTGTCATTATAAAGTACTGTATTCAACACATACGTTTGAAATAATAAACAATAATATTTAACTACATTCTACTACGTGCGACTTGAATTCATAATTATAAATAGTAGTACAAGCTTGGTGAAGTAGGGCCCTTTACTTTTTTCTATATCCTATTTATCATGTAATTAGAATTCATACAGAGAACTGAGAATTTACCACCGCCTCCTTTAAATGAGGTTACCCTCAGTTTCCCTATACATACAACATATACCCACAGCTTTTGATGTTACCAATTTAAAAGCCTGAAACGCATTATGTATTTATCCGTACCCAAAGTATTTTTAAGCAGAAAACTAGAAGCTCAAATGAAGCGAATCAACATGTCGGGGCTCCTCTCATCATCGCCTGTGACTGTCTCTTTAAGAAAATGCACTTGCAGCCATTTTCTGCTCTTTGTGTGGGGTGGATTAGCACCGGGTTGGTACTGGGCGAAACTAGAGCATCAGTCGACATAGAAGACGTGGAAAAAAAAATAAAATAAAAACCTAGGAAACATTGGCTCGCCGTCGCAGACCGCGACACGGTCCGCCCGATTTAGTTTGTCGCCGGACGGACATGCAATTTTCAGGTATGTGGCAAAAAGTAGCGATGGATGCAGACGCAGCGAAGAAGATGAACGGGGCTGGTGATGTGCTTTGGGTAGTGATGATGGCTGGAGACTGGAGTGCTGTTTTTCCCCCCTTCTTTTTATTTTGCCTCCTTTTCGCATTTCACACCCTTTCTCATTACTTATCTGTCCGTGCGCAAATGTAACAATAGGGGGACCCTTGTAAATAGGAGGGACTTGATTGGGATCGAGCGCCCCGCTTTATCGTGGATAATTGTGGCACATGAATGGGATCCCCGTTAGCTTACATCGGCATCGTAGCTCACGCTGAGATGGGTGGGGTGAGGAGAGGGTGCCTGTGTGGCAAGTGCACTGATGAATGATGGAGCACGTAAGGCTCCACGGTTTTCTGAGCTGATAACAACCGTTTCGCTGCACAGACACAGAAAGATGTCGAAAAAAGAACGTTTTGGTGTTTCAGATTGCTCGATTTCACGGCGATGCTCTGGCTTTTTCATTTTTTTTTCCCTTAAAGGTCCTCTCCCCTCTTTCCAATCGACTAACAGGCCACAGCATGGCGAGATGCACAGGATTGTTTCACAGCTATCACACCAGCAGGCAGGCAGGGCCGTTACTTGTGCTCAAATGACAGGTTCACCCACTTCCGTCTCAGACAGGCTTAGTCTAAACCCAGATGTTTTTCCTTTCCATTTCTCTCCTACAGACGAACCTGCCAGGTTGGGTAGAAATGTAAGCCTGCCATTGCTGCAGACTCTCTGAGCTGTAAATCTGTATGCCAGACCCTCACCCACAAGCAGTGATGTAATGCTTGAATCTTGATGCTTTGCTTCTGCTAACAGTAAGGATTGCAAAATTAAAACCACAATGAAAATGAAACCCGGTGCCATTAATAGTCAGGTAAAATTAGGATTATTTTTTTTTAAAAAAAAGTCTTCTTTAGGTTTATGATAGTTTTATGGAAAAACTTCACATTTTTGACTGACTAAAACGAGTGTTTCTTGTTTCTCTGAAAGTGTAATTAGCTAAGAATGATAATAATAATAATTATTGTTGTCAGTAGTAGTAGAAGTAGAAGTAGTAGTAGTATTAATAAGAATAATTTGTTGCAATTCAGGTATTATTGTTAATATTAGCTTGCTGACCTCGCTCATGTGTTAAAACACACACACACACACACACACACACATATGTTAATTTATGATGTTTTTTTTTTAATTTTCATGATTGCACTGTATTCAGTCAAATGGCAAAAAGTATTGTTCATATACACTAAAATATAAATAGATAAATACATAGGTTTATTGTTTGTCTTCTTTGCAAAATCCATATTCATTGCATAAGATAAAGTAATCAATTACTGGCATTAGTAGCATCACTGCTTGATTGACATTTATTTACAGATATACATTCCAATGAACCCAGAGTACCATGGCGCTAAAATCTGTTAAGCAAAATGTATTTACAAAAACTACAACATGCATGTAACATACACATATGTCAACAACGTACATGCAGCGTACATCTAATGTCAACAACTAACAAGTACACGTAATGTCGGCCACATACACGTAACATACACGAAATGTCAACAACATACATGCAACATACATATAATGTTGTTCATTTTTCAGGTCAGGTACTTCACCTACATTTATAATTTGTAAAGATTTGACTGTTATTAAAAAAAACTTCCCAAAAGCCACATAGATGTTAATAATCCTGGTAACATAGACAGTTTACATAGTAAGTTACAGATTCAATTGTGTCTAAGAGAAGTTAAGGGTTAATACGTACATATGCTACGATCATTATATAAGATAATAATTAGTTGCAACTCAAGTACTAACATTACTGAAGGGAATTCAAGGCTGGTTTCTACGAAAGTTGGCTTACTGCCACCTGAAGTGAAAAACCATCAAATCATTTACTGTGAAGTCGGTCATGGTCATGTTTGTCATGCTTTAAAATTAGAAGAAAAAAAGACAATTAGCTAACACATCTAAACACCACCACAGCATCCCGCTATTATTGTCACAGAGAGATGTCTGGACTGCTAAGGCTAGTTACCAGCTGTATGTCAGGCTAATGTGGTCTAAACCAGTATAAAGCTAGAAATGGAGCTGTCTAACATGTGCCTGTTTGAACCATCTGCTGAGAATAAATCATGAGTGGTTAAAATTGACTCATAAACTCATCTCATCCCCGTTTCTCCTTTTAAGAGCTATGCTGTGAGTGCAACCAGGCAGTTCCCTTTAATGTAAAAGGGAAGATTGAATTATATCCTTTAGCTTATTATCTATTTTGCTTTTGGGTAGTGAGGGGGGCTGGAGCCTATCCCAGCTGTCATAGGGCAAGAAACAGGTTAAGGCTGATTCTTGACATGAGACACCTACAGTCATTTTAGAATCACCAATTAACCTAAACCCAAGCATGCCTTCGGGTTAGGGTTAGGTAGCTGGAGTAACTGGAGAGAACCCATGGGAGAACATGCAAACTCCAATCAGAAAAGCCCCAGATTGGAGTTCAAACCAGACATTCTGTCAGTGAGGCAATAGTGGAAACCACAATACCAATGTGCTGCTTTCATACCAGTTCCATTCTATTAAATTGGTTAAAATTAACATTTAAACATCCTTATATCTCCAGAGTTCTTCAGCAAACAGTATATTAAGGAGCAACTGAGTAGTCCGTTGTGAAAGATGTGTTGGAAGCAGGAAACTGGTCAACAGTAAGACCTTGCAAATGCCAAATTGTGATAGCTAGAAGACTAATTAAGGGCAGCTCCTAAACAGAGGGCTTTGTGGGGTATTCCTGGTATGCATTAGTTAGTGCCTACCAAAAAGTGATGCAAAGTAATCCACTTGGTGAAACGGCAGTTTCTTTGTCAGGTACCAAGGCTCGTTAATGCTTTTTTTGGAAGGAAAGGCTTACTTGTGTGAAGAGCTGAAACACAAATTGCTGGAAACCTAATTCTGGCCATGATGCTGACCCCCGTTTGTGCTCACAGGAAGCATGTGAGCATTAGAAGTGGCCACTGGTGGGCTGCTCTGATTAATCATCATGTGGGCGGCTATATATGTGCAGTGTTTACCTGGGAAAGCTATATAGGTACATAAGCTAGAATATTGGAATAAGTCAGTGTGATCATCAGGAAAGCATTCTGCTAGGAAACCTCGGGGTCATTATCACTCATGTGAGTTTCATTTTTCCACTTATCACCTACCTAAACATTGTGGCAGACAACAGCATTCAGCACATTTTCTCCTTTAGCAGAACAATTTGCTCTGCAAGAGTCCGATTTGTTGATTAGGCCTTCAGTTTTCCGAGATCTAAAACCTGTGGGACGTCTCCAAAGAGGAAAAAACATTTGTGCAGGTCCCACCTCACAACTGTTACTTGCCCAAAACAGCTCAGTGATTCAGGGTACAAGTACAACTATTTTGCAGTTGACTGATTTGAGAAACACAGCGAGACAATGAGTCTAGATATAAATAACGAACTAGACAAAGAAAAAGGAAGCATCGCAAGCTGTTGTGGAACTGTAGCAGTCAGATGAAGTTATTATTATCACCACTTACAAATGTATTTTCATAAAGTTGCCAACATAATTACAACTAGATACACCTGGTTTACTTTTCGTTTGCTGTCTTTACTTGCCAAGCTTGGTGATGGTTATGCGAGGCATGCTCTTGTTCTTCCCCTAGTCTATATTCATCTCTGCAAGCATGACATCACAGAAATCATAAGATGAAAGCAGGTTTTTTTTCCTTCTTCTTCTTCTTGTGCTGCTTTCAGAAATGACAACCAGCCTGTGAAATACCTCAGCCACACACCGTCCCCTGCACAGGATGCTCTGCACAGACGCTGCTGGAACGCACATTTAGCCGCAGAGTTAGTTGGTGTCGCTGAACGTTTTCTAAATGATCGCATGCGTGACTAAATGCTCGAGATCCGTATTGTGCCTGCCTTCAATGCTGATCACATATGGTCTTATTGCGTGTATTACAAAGCTAGCCTTGGGTGGGAGATCCCATGGAGTGGTGCGAGGCTGGAGTTGACACACTTTCTCTCACTTTGTCTTCCTCTCGGGCAAGATGTATTACACAAAGGCCTAGCAGCGCAGAGTGGTCATATTTTTTTAATTATTTTTTTTTCTGCCTGTTACATCATGCTCCATGTTCTGACTGCATCTCATTCCTTTCCTCTGCTTTATTCATGATATTCTGGGATCTTCTCACCACCTCATTGTTCAGTGCTGTCACGAAGACATCAGACCAGAGCTCTTCATGTATAGAGGCTGCAGTTATAACGTGAACACGACGGGGGGGAGGGAATATTACTGTGTGAGTTTTGTGAAGCGAGTTGTTGTCTCGTTGCCTCATTTGTCCCTCTTTGGTTGTTCAACTAGGTTTCCAAGTGCTCAGAAGGGAATGAAGGGGCCCTTTTTGCTGGGCGAAGATGCACATACACACAGAGACAGACAGATAAACCGACTGTTTAACAGAGCCCTGTATAGGGTGGGAAAGTTTGTTCAGCCAACCCAGGCTTTAGAGCGCGTCTGTATTTGCATGCACAGATGGGAGTTTAGCAGCACTGAGCGCGTTTGTCTGCCCGACAAAGCCCCTGTAGCGAGCTGCGTGTTTCATTTTCTGTATGCCGAATGGTTATAAATAACCAGCCAGGTCTTAAAAGAATCAGACAGTGTACGCATCCAGGTTGTAAAGCAGCACAGCAGTGTAAAGAATACAGGAAACACTCTGTTCAAGATGACAAAATCCTCAGACGTTTAAAAAAAGGGGTTTCACACACACACACACACACACACGTGTAGAGTATAAGTTGGTACACACCTTATAATACACAACATCCTTGATAAACTGCCGGCTTTTATCTGTTTCACAACCACCGTGTCCACATTAAACGTCATACTTCAAATTATGGAACAGAAACAAAAAGAGCAGTTAAAGGGCGATAGCGCTCAGCAAATGAGTGGTACTCTATTCCATAATGGAAAATGATATCACCGATAATCAACTAAAGAAGCGGTTATTCACACATTAGCAGAAACGGGAAGTGGAACAACCTACATTTAGCATCCAGTAATCATTATACTTATCTGTGTATGCGTGTGTTTACGTGTGTTGATCATGGTAAAATCTGATATTGATGAGACCCGCTGTAGCTGGAAGTACTGCAATAGTGACAGAAGGTTGGTAGTTGTTGTTTTTTTTTTTTTTTCTTTTGTGGTGTTGTAACACCACAACATACACTCACAAAACTTTATGGGTCTTTAGTTCACATCAAAATAAAGGTTGAGTTTTGAAAGCCCGTGTGGTCTGATCCACAAGCGCTAACTAAAGAGGCCAAGTGGCCGTTTACCCACTTGTGCCACATTCTTTTTTTTTTTTTTCTTCTTCATTTTGTGTTGCAGTGTAAACTGTATACAGAGCTGCAGCACCCATATAAAGTATCTTTACTGTGTGTGCATATATTTTGGAAGCTGGGTGAGGTCTGAGAACTCGGTGCTGTTTGACTGGTGGCTTACCATGTGAAAAAAATGTCACAGTCGTATATGACAGGAAACCCCACCCACTTTCTTTTCAGATCATTTGTGATCATTGGTTAAGCCTGCATATGCGACCATTACCGATGACCAAGAGCCGGCGAACTCATTATGTAGGCTTCGCGTCACAAAATGACGGTTTTGCAGATTCTGCATTTACTTTAAAGTTGTCCCATCTTCCCATTTCTCACTGTTGGAGGATTTTTTTTTAATTTCCCCTTTCTTCTATTTTGGTGTTCACACTTTCCTCTCTGCTTGTGCTGGCTGTGAATATTAAGCTGATTATCTGTGCTGTCAGCCGGGTCAGACGTAAAGCGCAAGTTTCTGAGAGGCACATGATTTATGGATGGGCGCACGCTGCTTCGGCTAAGCTAGGGTTTATAATGAGGAGAGGGCCATACTGAGACTGTGTAGTTTTTAACGTTATCCTGCAGTGTGAAACTGTAATCATGCATTCATATATATACCACCTGATATTTATTTGAATTGATAAAAAAGTACAAAGCTGCCAGCAATTTGAGAGTTTAACAGGAAAGCAGATTTTGCCAATGCCGCATTTACAAGATAACACGTTTTTGTGTTTGCTGTCGAACTTTCACTGTTTTTTGAAGCGTTTTCTGCTTTTTGCCAGATCAATGGCATTTTCCAGGTCTTGGCATTTCATGAATTATGCTCTTCAGATATTCTTCTAGTCAAGCAAAAAGCCAAAAAGGAAACTGCAAGGGGCCTCTTCCCCTTTCTTCCCCCCAAGTGATACAGGTGCAGGGTGAATGCACACACTTTCTGCACCAAAACAGGGCTTCATGGGAGGAAATGAAGTTGTCTAGACATACTAAGACAGTGTCTGATGTATGTCTCCTCTAACCCTGCAGTATCTGACTATAGAATGCATTTATATTGCTAGAGTGTAACTTGCTCATTCATTTTTATCTGTTTATTCAGTAATTTCTTGATCAGTTGTCCCCTGACTTTTCTGTCCGATTGAGACAAGCACCCCAGGTTCATTTTGCTGCACAGTATCACGTGTCAGTTTGGGTTTTTTGTATCGAGGACACCAAATACTGATATTTTATTATTATTTGAAAAGAAACACATACATGAAAATACTCTGGGGATACTACTCTACTAACAAGAGGGCTCACCTCCTCATATAATGTTACCTAAGCAAACTTAAAGCGTTTTATACAACATGCCTCATTCACCCATTTATACAAGCACTTTTTTCTAAGCTCTTTCTATGTAAGTGCTTTGATGCGCCAGAGAGCAACTTGGAGTTAGTATCGTGCCCAAGGATATTTGGCATGCAGACTGGCGGAGCAAAGATCAGAGATCGAACCACCAACCTTCCCATCAGTAGATGAGAGCTACAGCCACCCCAAATTGCAGTACATGTCAGTGCAATACAGAGCCTATTGCAAAAAGTATTGTGTCCTGATTGACCAAGTCATTTTCACCTGTAACTTTTTGACCCGTTTGCCGACGTATATGTGTAAAACTGCAGTAGGAAGTCCTCGTGTGAGACCTTCTGTTTCGGGAACCACAAAGCACGTTTCCTCCTTTTTGCGGTGCCTCTTTAACTCATATCTTTCCTTCTGTTTGCTCTTTCTGTCTATGTCAGCCTGGGGCGCTGTTTGAGTGACACCTCGTTACCATGACAACCCACGTGACCCTGGAGGATGCTCTGTCCAACGTGGACCTGCTGGAGGAGCTGCCGCTCCCGGACCAGCAGCCGTGCATTGAACCCCCTCCCTCCTCTATTATGTACCAGGTACGCACTGGTTCACAGTGCCGCCACCGCTGCCACCCACCATCGTCCCCAGCTGATTGGTCTTTTTCAGTGTACAGTCTTTTGACCCCTTTTTGTCTCTCTTTCCGCAGGCGAATTTTGACACCAACTTTGAAGACAGGAATGCTTTTGTGACTGGCATCGCCCGTTACATCGAGCAAGCCACAGTCCACTCCAGCATGGTGAGACCTGCGGCGCTGGTTACAAAAATAAACACCACGGCATTGCTCTCCATTCCACAGTTTTTTGTTTCCTTTTCCTTTAATAGCTAACTAGTGAAATTCAGTCTTTTGTGGTCTCACCTCACTAGTTTTTGTTCCTCTTTCAGCAAAATCAAAGCAGACTGTGGGAAGCAGCCTCGTGCCCTTAAAGAGAGCCTTGTTTCATGTGAATTGATTATCATTTGGCTCTTTTGTTAGGATTTGGCTCGGCCTGTGGCGGGACACACATACAAATAACGCACGCACACTCTTGCAGACACAAATTCCACTCACACGCTGGTGAATCAGAGAGGCAGCCGAGCACTAAACATCCCTCCCCTGATTGTGAATGAACAGAGAATGTGATGTGACTGTCGAAGAGGGGAAGTAGAGCTTTATTTAACCGGTTCAACGAGGAAGTCACATTCAGGTTGAGGCCAGGCTATTTGGGGGCACTCGTCCTTTAGCCGCAGGGATGGAGGAATCTGTCTTTCCTATTTCTGAGAGGATGAAATGTTTCCCTGCTAAAATATTTATCAAGTCCTGCAATGGGGGTTTAATCTGAGATGTGTGATGTGTTTAGTAGCATTAGCAGCATTTTTTTGCTTATTTGTCACACTTCAAACAGATGTTAATGTTAGACAAAGATAACCTGAGTCAGTACCAACTGCAGTTTTTTAGGGAAGAAGAATCTAAACCTACCTGACCCCGTGTTAGAAGCAGTTCTCCTAAACTTCCCCTAACTGTGCCACAGCAAGAACTGCAATCAAGTGTATGCAATAACTGGCAGTGAGTCTTTCACCTCAATGTGGAGGAATTTTAGAGAGCTGTTTTAAATCAGGCACATCGGAGGGTTTTCAAGCATGAACGGGCCTGTTTAAGGTCATGCCAGAGCATTTCAGTTGGGTTTAAGTGATTAGGCCACTCCAACACCTTTATTTTGTTTTTTGTTTTTTTTGAGCCACCCAGAGGTGCTCTTATGGCGTGTTTTGGATCATTGTCCTGCTGTGTATCCCAAATGTGCACAGATTGATGGCTGGACATTCTCCTTCAGGATTTTCTGGTAGAGAGAAGAATTCATGGGTTGAAGTCATCCAGATCCTGAAGAAGAAAGCAGCCTCAGTCCATCACGCTACCTCCACCACTGCGTTTGACTGGTGGTGTGATGTTCTTTATGTGAAATTCTCGCTTTGATTTTACACCAGATGTAACGGCACTCAAAGATTCCACAAAGTTCAGCTCTCGTCTTGCCAGCCCACAAAAGATTTTCCCAAAAGTCTCGGAGATCATCAATCAGAATCAGAATACTTTATTGATCCCGAGGGGAAATAATTTTGGGTACAGTGCTCCAGTACAAACAGTAACAAAGACTTTTTTTTTGGCAAATTTAAGACGAGCCTTTGTGTTCTTTGTGGTCAGCAGTGCTTTTCACCTTGGAACTCTCTCACAGGTGACATTCTTGCCCAGTCTCCTCTTGTTGAATTTTAAATCATGATCACCGATCTTAACCAAGACAAATGAGGCCTGCAGTTCTTCAGGTGTTGTTCTGGGTTCTTTGGTGACCTCCTAGATGAGTGATCGATGCGCTTTTGGAGTAATTTTGGTTGCCTGGTTTAAAGTTTTGTCTCCATTTGTGGATAATGGCTCTCACTGTGATTCACTGGAGTCCCAAACCTTTACAGATGACGTGGTAACCCTGTCCAGACTTCAGTGTTTTACATCTGTTCTTCATTTTTTAGAGATCAAAGCTTGATGAGTTGCTAGATGAGATTTTTGCAGCCTGCTTCAGTTTGTTAGACAGGTTATAGTTAAGTGTTTTGTTGATTCGAAGGAGCTGGCAGTAATCAGGCCTGGGTGTGGCATGTGAAATTGAATTCACAGTTAATTAATGAGTTAACAGTTAATGGGGGAGGGTAGGTTTTCACAGAGGGCCAGGTACGGTTGGGTCATTTTTATTTTTACTGTTTTAATGAATAAAATCATCATTTAAAAAATGTCTTTTGCATTTACTCAGGTTATTTTTGTCTAATAAAATAATTAGTTTGATCATCTGCAACAAAAAAAATGTGGCATGTGCAAAAAAGAAGATGGGAAATACTTTTTCACAGCAGTGTAGATATAATCTTGAGCTTGTTGAGGTATCTAGTCCTGGCGTGACTTCAGCTGTACATGAGGAATTAAATGTCTTTGTTCTATTTATTTCTACAGAATGAGATGCTGGAGGAAGGACATGAATATGCTGTGATGCTTTACACATGGAGAAGCTGTTCCAGAGCCATTCCCCAGGTTAATGATCACTTCCTTCCTGTCCTCATATCTTAACCTTTAGATCTAATGCTAAACCATCATAACAGAGTTTTATTCAAGCTGTCACACTGTCTTTTCACTGTAAGAAACAATTACCCAAAAAGGCCGTATGAAAGGCAGATGTTGCCAGGCTTGAGTTGTGGGTTGGTAGTTGGGTTGCCTAACTTTGCACCTTTTAGCCACTGAACCAGAAGCTCAGCTGCAGGCGGTGGTGATTCTACAGAGCAGAAACAACACCGCCTGCAGCTGAGCTTCTGGTTCAGTGACAGCTGTATTTTTAGCTATAAATAAAAAGGGGAAAAAGAAATCAGAAACCACCCTGTTACGTAAAAAATTCAAACCGAATTGGACTGCAAAGCATTTGCCTTAACAAAGGGGTGTAGTCACAAGTTCAACACAGTCAGGCTTTCTTTACATTAGCTGGCTCGGCGAAACCTTAAACCCCAGTCAGAGGCATTGCAGCGGGTGGTTGTCAGCTTTTTCTGTTTGTTCAGACTTTCTCTGTGCACGCTCACATAAACTGACCCTCAAGTGCCCACTTAACTCCCAGAGGAACATGTGAGAAAAGGAAATATAAAGACTATAAAAAAAAGTCAAACTTCAAACACTGCAAATAAATCAAGGGGGAGGATGCTGTAGAAAATCATTCAAATGTAGTGAACTTGTATGTTCGTATTGTCCTACTCAGTGTGCCCTCATTGATGCTGTTTATGACGCTCGCTACAGTCGGGACTTACTCTGTCCTGTATTCTGGAGATGTGGAAATTGTGGCCAGATGAGAATGAAATCAATTCCACACATTGAATATTCTTAAGCATTGAAAGTCTACAAATCGGCCGATCGATTCACTCATCTTTGTCCTGTCAGCTGCTGGACTGAGCAGCAAATTAGGACCACGCAAGCTGGACCTGCTCAGCGTTCAGTGTTAGTTGCCATGGTGATGTAGACGGGTTAAAAAGAGAGAGAGAAAGAACTCTGACTTTAAACTGAGCATACCTCACTAATCTTGTTTCCTAGTACAGCCCTCAGGTCTGCAGTGTGACCTTAATGATTTTATTGTTACATGTAACAAAGTTCCCCAAAACTGACGTTTACAGTTTTAAACGAAAATGTTTAGTAATCACGATTTTTGGGAAAAGGGAGCAAAAAGATGGGAGTGGGGTGGGGTCGTGGGGGATTGGAGCAACTAATATGTTACCTGGGTGAAAGTACATGTGGTGCACTGTTGCTGTGAGATCAGGCTGTGTGATGGCACCATCTTGTGTCTGCTAGGTGAAATGCAACGAGCAGCCCAACCGAGTGGAGATCTACGAGAAAACGGTGGAAGTGCTAGAGCCCGAAGTGACCAAGCTCATGAAGTTCATGTACTTCCAGGTAAGATCCTACTTTAAGATTACATAAACTAGATCAAGGAAACTCTATGATAAAGCACTAAACAGACCAACGTATGTTTATGTCTATAGAGACAAAGGAGGGTTTTTAAACATTTTTTATGCATATGTATTCATTATTAATAGAGCTGTTGATAATCAGTTGGTTTTGTGTTTGTTTTTTATTAGAGGAAAGCCATAGAACGCTTCTGTAGCGAAGTGAAGCGTCTGTGCCACGCCGAGAGGAGGAAAGACTTCGTGTCTGAGGCCTATCTGCTCACTCTGGGCAAATTCATCAACATGTTCGCAGTGCTGGACGAACTGAAGAATATGAAGTGTAGCGTCAAGAACGATCACTCTGCCTACAAACGGTAGTGAACCCTAAGTAAAGAGATCCAAATGTACATTTTTTGTTTTGTTTTTTTTCTCACGCTGCAGAGCCAAACTAACTTTCCTCTCCTCTCCTACCTCCAGGGCAGCTCAGTTCTTGAGGAAGATGGCTGATCCCCAGTCCATCCAGGAGTCTCAGAATCTCTCCATGTTTTTAGCGAACCACAACAGGATCACTCAGGTCAGTGCGGGGATTATGCGTGGCTAATAAAAGACTATGACTTAGGCTACGTCCACACGTACACGGGTATTTTTGAAAACTGAGATTTTCCGTTTTCGTTTTAAAAAATAATCCCATCCACACGTAAAGGCAGAAATGAAGGAAAACGCTGCGAGGAACATGCCAAAGCAACGGGTGGCGATATATTTCTAACCGTGCAGAAATGTTGGCCAATCAGAAGTCTAGAAGCCTCGGTGGGAAAAAGTAAACAAAGCTGTAATTAACAGTAATAGTATTGTAGAAATTCATTTCACCGAAACAATAACGTGGCGCACAGTGTGACGTCAAAAAATGCGCACACCTTTGACGCTGCGTTTTCTGCGTTTTCTGCGTTTTTCTCATCCACACGTAAATGCAAAAACTGAGTTTTCAAAAATATCCACCCTGGCCTTTTTTTTTAAAATCTCCGTTTTCAATGACCGAAAACGCCGTTTACGTGTGGACGAAAGGTGCAAACGCATAGAAAAATCTGCGTTTTCAAAAATACCCGGGTACGTGTGGACGTAGCCTTAGATTCCATCTTTCTTTTGTTTTTTTTTTAGTGCAGCTTTGTGAAAATAGACATTTTAATTGGGGGTTTATTGCAAATACAATTAAATATCCTGGTGATAGTACACCAGGCGAGCTGGATTGCTCCAGGGTAATGATTTGAGAGAATGAATGACTCACAGCTGTGCTCAAGGTGTCACAGAGCTGCTGCCTGAATGTTAGTCAGAGCAGAGGAGCTGTTATGTAATTAGTGTGGCTGTTCTCACCTAAATCAGCCTTTAACCTGCTGATTTTGGTCCTCTTGAATTGTGTTCGATCTTATTTTATTTGTGTTGTTGTTGATGTTTAATCCCACGTACGCACAGGGTACAGTGAGTCCTCCTTTCTTGTGTTGTCAGTGCATTACTGTTTATCTAAAGGTGACTTGTTGTGTCGCGCTTTTCTCCGTGCAGTGCCTGCATCAACAGTTGGAGGTGATTCCCGGCTACGAGGAGCTTTTGGCAGACATTGTCAACATCTGTGTAGACTATTATGAGAACAAAATGTATTTGACGCCTAGCGAGAAACACATGCTGCTTAAGGTAAGCGCGCGTTTGACATCGTTATCCGCCGCCAGCTCGCAACAATTCGAAATGATCTCTTTCTGGCGTCTTTTTGCCAATTTGTCTTTTCCCCTTCCGTTTCTTTTTGACAGGTTATGGGCTTTGGTCTGTACCTGATGGATGGGAATGTGAGTAATATCTATAAACTAGATGCCAAAAAGAGGATCAACCTGAGCAAGATCGACAAGTTCTTCAAAGTAAGGGCTTTTAAGCGTTTTCTTTTTCCCATTACACGCTTTGTTGTGTTTATCCCCGAAGTGAGGCGTTCACTCTTGTTTCTCAGCTGCAAGTGGTGCCGCTGTTTGGAGACATGCAGATCGAGTTGTCACGCTACATTGAGACGAGCGCACACTATGAAGAAAACAAGTCCAAGTGAGCAAACCCATCCACTGGTGTAATTTACAGAAATCTGGATGTTACTCTTCTTTTTTTCCCACCACTACAACTACAGGCTGAAGTAAAATTCCTCGATGACCAAACTCCCACACACTCCCTCCCAACCTTCTTTTCCCATCTGTGCCCAGGTGGACATGCACTCAGAGCAGCATCTCTCCGCAGTACAACCTGTGCGAGCAGATGGTGCAGATCAGGGATGACCACATCCGTTTCATCTCCGAGCTGGCGCGCTACAGCAACAGCGAAGTGGTGACCGGCTCGGGCCTGGACAGCCAGAAGTCAGACGAGGAGTACAGGGAGCTGTTCGACCTGGCTCTGAGGGGTCTGCAGCTGCTGTCTAAGTGGAGCACGCACGTCATGGAAGTTGTGAGTAAAGCGTGGGATTGATTGCATCCCTGTGTGGGTAGGGAAAATGCTTTGTGGGGCCGTCAGTGTGAATATGAGTGGGTTTTGGACGTATGATGTGGGTTGTTTTTTTTATTGATTGTTGCTATTGATTGTTCTGGCTTTGATCTAATTATAGCTCTCCTTTGTTTCAGTACTCATGGAAACTGGTACATCCCACGGATAAATTCTGTAATAAGGACTGTCCAGGCACGGCGGAGGAGTATGAGCGAGCCACGCGTTACAACTACACCAGTGAAGAGAAGTTTGCCCTGGTGGAGGTCATTGCCATGATCAAAGGGCTGCAGGTAAAAGATTATATTAATATGAGTAGCACTCTCACTGATGTTCACTGTCTGGATATTTTTTTGCACTTCAGCTGAGTGCATGATTTGACACAAGCATAGTTTTCACTAGTTTATTTCCAAAAATGCAACTTGCACAACTGACATTAAAGCAGTGACATGGGAAAAAAGCATATTCATATATAGTTGATTTATAGTTGCATTCATAGAGAATAACTAAGACATAAAAAAAATAGGTGATGCAATAAACGATGTTATGTGTCCCAAAGGTTCTGATGGGCCGAATGGAGTCGGTGTTTAACCAGGCCATTAGGAATACCATCTACGCAGCTCTGCAGGACTTTGCCCAAATGACCCTTAGAGAACCTCTGCGCCAGGCTGTACGCAAGAAGAAGAACGTTCTCATCAGGTACAAAAATGATGCAATCACAAATACATCTGTTTCTTTTGTTTCAGACTAAATAACAGACAAAGTATTTTTACATTTTTCTGCAGTGTTCTCCAGGCCATTCGAAAAACAGTCTGTGACTGGGAAGGAGCCAGGGAACCTCCAAATGACCCCTGTCTGAGGGGTGAGAAGGACCCGAAAGGCGGTTTTGATATCAAGGTGCCTCGTAGAGCCGTCGGACCCTCCAGCACGCAGGTGAGACGTGAAACGGACCAGGGTGCTTAAAGAATGGTGTTCAGTCTGTAGTGAAAGCATTTAGATCTGCATGTATTATCTTTGAAACTACTGAGATTTTTAAAGTAGCTTAACTTCCTATTAGCAGTTGCAAAACCTGAAAATGTACATGTGTGAGAGTTGCGTGAGTTATGCTGCACGATGTTCCCAGGGGGAAACCGTGTAATCACCGGGACATTTAAAAGAAACTGACTGACTTTGTGCAATTTTGCATGCTTTTTTTTTTTTTTTTTTTTTTTAAAACAGCATTGTGTTCTTTGTCCCGATTGGCTCTAGACTATTGTCAATCAGTCTCCTCCGTGCCGTCTCTCCTGTACAGTACAGAATGCGTTCAGCTTGTCAAATTTACATAAATCTTCGATCGCTAGCAGTGTGACTCTGAAGTGCTGCACTGTATGTTTGTAAGTTTTCTCCCCAACAAACGCAAAAATGTTGACAAAACGTTTTGCAACGTCAAAGGCAGCGGAAGATGCTAACCATCGCACAAAACGTTATACTTCTGGACATGCTAAAGGAAGGTAGAAGTAACTGTATTTTTTGGATTATAAGGCGCATTAAGTGAAACAAAACAGTCAGATAAGTCAAACTTTACTCAACTCATTCTTCTTGCTTCCTCTACTTCCGTACCATTGATTCATTAATATTGAATTTTCGCGCAGCTGACAGTTGTTTCATAAAGGTTTCAAATGAGTAATAATGGTTTGTCACATGAGCTTTTGTGCACTCATATTCGTCTGATGCAATGAATGTAAAATTTATATACACTACTGTTTAAACATATCAGTTGTTTAAATGGAAACATTTTATTATTTCATAAAAAAATTTAGCATATTTTGAATGTGATGCCATCACCAGTCTCAAAAATGGCAGACCATCTGCTCTTGGGTGCCCATGATCTTTGGGCCCTTGAGTGGCACTGCATTAAAAACAGGAATGATTCTGTCATGGAAATCACCGTATGGGCCCAGGAACACTTCCAGAAATGACTGTCTGTGAGCACAGTTACTATCTGCAACCTGCTATCCGCAGGTTAGAGTGCGATCATGCAAAAAAAGAGCACGATCCAGAAGCATGTTCTCTAGGCCAAAGCTCATTCATAATCACTGAATAAAGGTTTTGTGGTCAGATTAATCGAAGTTTTTAATTCTTTTTGGAAAACACGCACACCGCGTCCTCCAGACTAAAGAGGAGAGACACCATCTGGCTTGTTATCAGCGCTCGGCTCTAAAGCCTGCATCTCTGTTTCATCTGTTGTATGGCGGTACATTAGTGCCTGTGGAAGTGGCTCTTTTTTTACACTTCTACACTGGCTTCATTTTTCACCCAGGTTGCTGCTGGTAATAAAGAGGTTTCCACTTTTTTTATATTTTAACCTTTGTCTCTCTCCTCCACAGCTGTACATGGTACGCACCATGCTGGAATCCCTAATAGCAGACAAGAGTGGATCCAAGAAGACTCTGCGGAGCAGCCTTGATGGACCCATAGTCACAGCCATAGAAGACTTCCACAAGCAGTCCTTCTTCTTCACACATTTGCTCAACTTTAGTGGTAAGCTGGAATTCTGAAAGTTCAAACAGACCAAGTTGTCAAAGGAAAAACCAGAAGAGAAGTGAATGAATACTCCACAGCATCAGCTAACATTATTAACAGCTTTTACTCTTGCTTCCTTTGTGAGGCAACGGAAGAGCAATGAGAGCAAACATTTCTAATGCTCGCCAATCTTTTCTGCCATTTCCTTCCTTCTTCCTGCCACTGTCCTGTCACCCAGAGGCCCTGCAGCAGTGCTGTGACCTGTCCCAGCTCTGGTTCAGAGAATTCTTCCTGGAGCTCACCATGGGCCGCAGAATCCAGTTCCCCATTGAGATGTCCATGCCGTGGATCCTCACTGACCACATCCTGGAGACCAAGGAGCCTTCCATGATGGAGTAAGAAGTAGATCAGTTAAACACTCTTTGTTTATGACTTTAAAAAAA